TGCAGTTCATTTGATTCGGTTTCTATGCAAACGAAAATTCAATTACACTGTTAATTGATGAAAAACTCCATAATCGAACAGCTTGTGAACACAGATCACATGATCGAAACTGACATAAAATTTAAAATCATCTAATCTACAAGCTATACAGAAAGTCGACATATATAGAGTAGTTAGCTTCTGTTTTCTTAACATTGGCGTACCATTTGTTTGAAAAATCGAGCCGCTAATATCACAGTTCCTGATTCCGAAGCTCCCATATTTATTTGAACATAAACGTTGCAAGATGATAATGTTTATCATTGCCCAGCTAATTACAAATTAAACTATTTTAATGCTTAGTATATTTGATATGTAACTAGAAGTGGAATTCATGACAGACAGATACAACGCAGAACTTCGTACGTACGTACGTACATCAGTTCAGGTTGCCATGCCTCATCAACACAGAAACACAACTTTCAGTTCAAATCCAAGAGTGATAGCAATGATAGAAGTATTAGCAGTAATGGAGAAGATTAGGGAGCGAAGATATGATTCAAGAAGTATATATAATTCAGTGAGATAAATTTAGAAGCAGGAAGATAGAGATTATGAAGAATTCAGAAGGTTAGAATTTCATAGAACACAAAGAGTGGATGCACCTGTGCCACTGCAAATGATTCTGACCCATGTCATTCAAGGTCTCTAACCATCGGTGACTATCGTCTCGAATTCCGCCTTAAGGTCTAGGAAGACAACTATTGTAGGACGCCTCAATGTGTCTCTGTTTTCCAGGACCTGTCGTAGTGTGAAGATGTGGTCTATACAGCCACGTCCAGCCTGGTTTTCTTTAGTCTGCTCTCCACGAGCACTAGTAAGGCGTCTAAGTATAATCGAGGCTAACAATTTAAAAACTATATTAGTTAGACTTATTCCCCTATGATTGTCACAAGAAGACTTTTGTCCTTTCTTATAAATTGGGACAATCAGTGATTGAGACCAGTCGGATGGGAGGAATTACGTCCAGTTCCCAGATTCTTCTACCTAAGATCTCAATCAATCTAGCTGCTGAAACTGAACCACCATCCTTGAAAATCTCAGGGGTCAGTCTAAGGATATGCATATTTCATCAACACCCTAGGACACATTACAACAAACCCTTTGTAGTGTTTTCCGTTAATGCTTAAAATTACTAATTACAATCTTAATTTATACGTCATATACATACATATAAGTTGTCCTGGTGGAATTCAAGGTTACATATTTGTTATACGTTTCAATGGTTGAGCGAAATATGATGATGATAATCACGATGATGACAATAAAGACCTTAAGTTATTCACACACGCACATGCACACACACACACACATAACTCACTTTGAATGTATATGTTTTTTTTCAACTAACTAGCCTGAATAATAAATATCAAATTACATTAATTGTTTTCGATATATCTATATATATATATATATATATATATATATATATATATATATATATATTTGTCTATCAATTGTGCTAATTGTAATTGTCAACTATTCAAATTGTGAATAATTAATTTAAAATAAATATACAAGTTTGATATTTTATTGTAATTTAATCAAAAATTAGTGGACACAATATATCCATTCATTTATTTGATCAATAATGTAAAGTTATCTTTCCTGTTTTTTTTTAGTAAGAGTATGTATGATATTTAGCAATTTTGAAAATGTGTTACTTTTTTTTGGTTTATTTAGGGTAGGGATGGCAAATCAATAGATGAAGCCATTGAGACTTCATCAGTTGAGATGATTGGGACATACATGTGTCACGTATGCCTAACCACCGACTGCCTCGTCAAGCTATGTTTTGTAGTGTAGGAGTAGGTTGGAAGAAAGTAAGGGGCGGCCAGACCAAAATATGGCAGAAATGCATGAAGTCACTGACAAGTGGACTGAGTCATGTTGGTAGATCTAGGCTATCAGGTTGGGATCCGTGAGACGTAAGTCACCAATGGTTAGAGAACTTGGACGACATGGCTCAAAATCGTTTGCAATGGCGCAGTTGCATCCACTGTTTGTGTTCTCTCTAATTGTAACCTTCTGAATTTCTCATCATTTCTATCTTTCTCCTTCTAAATTTATCTCACTGAGTTATACTTTTTGAATCATATCTTCGCTCCCTAATCTTCTCCATTACTGATAATAATTCTACTATCGCTATCACTCTTGGATTTGAACTGACATTTACGTCTTTGTGCTGACGTGGTACGGCAACCTAAAATGATGTCAGTCAGTCAGTCAGTCAGTTGCAGCGTAGAACTTCGTACGTAAGTACATCAGTTCATGTCGCCATACCACATCAGCACAGAGATGTAATTGTCAATTCAAATCCAATAGTAGTAGAGGTAGTCAAGGTATTAGAAGTAATCGAAGAGGTTAGGATTAGAAGATATTATTCACGAAGTATGATTAAATGAGAAATGTTTACAAATTCAAAAGTAGAGGGGTTGAAGAACCCAGAAGATTAGGATTTGAGAGAACACAAAGAATAAATGCACCGTCGCCATTGCGAACGATTTTGAGCCATGTCATTCAAGGTCTCTAACCATCGATTATTATCATCTCGCAGACCCCAACCAGGTAGTCGACAATTACCGACATGGCTCAGTCCACTTGTCAATGACTTCATGGATTTCTGCCATGTTTTGGTTTGGCCGCCCCTAGTTTTCTTCCAACCTATTCCTACACTACAAAACAAGGATCGACGAGGCAGTCGGTGGTTAGGCATACGCAACACATGTCCCAACCACTTCAGCTGATGAAGTTTCACCACTTCATCTATTGATCTGCCATTCTTACCTAGTACCCGTTTCCTAACGACAGCATTGCTCACTCGGTTGTCCCACGATATACGAGCAATGCTTCGAAGATACCTATGATCGAAAATCAATAACCTATGAATATCTTCTACTCTCATTGGCCATGTTTCACAGCCATAAAGTAAGACGGAGCGAACTACTGCACAGTACACTCGTCGTTTAGTCAGCAAACGGAACCTGAACTGATGTACTTGTGTACGAAGTTCTGCGTTGTATCTGTCTGTCTGTCGTTTATTTAATGAGTGAGTGTGATGTGTAGATCAGTGTTACTTTTCAGAGGAGATTCCTTTTTTCTAAGTTTCATTGTATGTGTGTGTGTGTGTTTTGTTGGAATAAATTACGCTGATGTGCTCATAGTCAACAGATGTAGTTAATTTCATGGGCGCTTAGACAAAAATCTCCAACGAAAAATCCATTCATTGAATGAACGGACACGTTGCTGAAACTATTGTATACTGCACACTTAATATAGGAGAACAAAAAAGGAGCAAAGTGTCAATCTCGTTTTTAAAAATATACACAAATATCAGTTGCATTACTTATTCAATTGTTATTTGAGTAAATTACTTACTTAATTTCTTACGCCTGTTACCCCCAATGCGCAGCATAGGCCGCCGCCCACCAATTTTTCTCCAACCAACTTTGTCCTGGGTTTCCTTCTTCAGTTCTGTCCAATGTTTTGTTCATTCCTCTCATATCTTTCTCTATTTCTCGGCATAGTGTGTTGTTCTTTGGCCTTCCTCTTTTTTGTCATTTTGCCTTGATTTGAGTAAATGGTACAGTGATTATTTAAATATTTAGGCATATCTTGTATACTACAATTGTGTAGTGTACAGATTGTTGCATAGCTGCTTATGTATGTATACATTATCTAGTCTGAGTGTCATAACACTAAACAATATCAATTTTATCGAATCGTGTTTGAATGTGATTAATTGGACAGATATATATATATATATATATATATATATATATATATATATATATATATATTCGTGACAGGTCTTCCATATTGTTAACTTGTCATTTTAATTAATAGAGAAGTTGGACGAAAGTAGTAGCTGTGTTGTAGGTTAGATGAAATGGATGTGCGTTTTTTTTCTAATCTACTTTGGCGTGTTTTTTTTAATGTTTATTCGCTGAATCGACCAGCTCCACCACTGAACACACCCAACATCGAAGCAGCACCCACGGACCTCCCAATTAATATAGGTGCACCTACGATTGAGGAGATCAGTATGGTCATCAGACAAATCAAGAGCGGAAAAGCAGCAGGACCAGACAACATTCTAGCAGAGGCAATGAAAGCAGATGTAGAAGCAACTGCGAAAATATTTCACATCCTCTTGAAGAAGATTTGGGATGAGGAACAAGTACCATCAGATTGGAAATAAGGATACCTGATCAAAATACCAAAGAAAGGCCATCTCAGCAAGTGTGAGAACTACAGAGGTACCACTGTTCTCTCATTACCAGGCAAACTCTTCTACAGCGTATTGTTAAACAGAATGAAGGACTTCGTAGACGCCCAACTTTGAGATCAACAGGCCGGATTTCGTAAGGATCGATCATGTACTGACCAAATTGCTACATTACGTATCATTGTGGAACAATCAATTGAATGGAACTCACCACTCTACATCAACTTCATCGACTACGAGAAAGCATTTGATAGCGTTGACAGGAAAACACTGTGGAGGCTTCTTTGACACTACGGTGTGCCTGAGAAAATAGTTAACATCATACGGAACTCTCATGATGGATTCAACTGCAAAGTCGTACACGGAGGATAGCTAACAGACTCTTTTGAGGTGAATACCGGTGTCAGGCAAGGTTGCTTACTCTCACCCTTTCTCCTTCTCCTGGTGATCGACTGGATTATGAAGACGTCGACATCTGGAGTGAAGCACGGTATCAACTGGACAGTTAGGACGCAGCTGGACGATCTGGACACTACGCCGAGAAATAGAGAAAGATATGAGAGGAATGAACAAACATTGGACAGAACTGGAGAGGGAAGCCCAGGACAGAGTTGGTTTGAGAAAACTGGTTGGCGGCCTATGCTCAACTGGGGGTAACAGGCGTAAGTAAGTAAGTAAGTAATGAATCACATCACTCACTCAGTCTTTTTTTGTCGTTCCGATAACCAAATAGGTATCATCAGCGTTCATACGGTGGTGTAACACGTACAACTTAAGTTCATATCGTCGTTGAATTGTTTCAGCAAGAAAAAAACACTACTTTTTTTTTATTATTCTTATTACTTTTGTGGTGCGAGCTACTTATAGGTAGTATATGACGTGAGTGTCAACGTAATGTCTGGCAGAAGAAGATGGGGGAAGATCAAGAAAGGAAGAGTTAGATAGAACACAATGGAATTTGTATGAAACGCATGAATAGTGAGTGACAATGGATTGATGTTTTGCAACAGGAACAGTCTAGTTCGATATGATGGATTGATATTTTGCAAATGAACGATTTACGATATGGTTTTCCAATTTTATTACTGATTAACTCTGTAATTTTCGCTAAATACAATTCGGTTGCCCACCACCTGTGTTCTCCATCAGTACACTCTCTCCATTGGTGTTCTCTATTTTAGGACGAATCCAATGAGGATAATACTTTGTCAAATGAAAAATTAACAGTACATCATTATTTATATTTGGGTTGGCCAGATTTTGATGTTCCAGCTAGCTCAGAAGAATTTTTAAAATTTTTACTTACTGTTAAACAAAGTCATAAGTCAAGATCAAAATTATTATTTTCGTCATCATCATCATCATCAGCGGCAGTATCATCACCAACTCTTGCGCAATCAACCACCACATCAGAATCATTAACAAATTGTCCATTTGATTCTTCTATATCTCCATTATTGGTACATTGTAGTGCTGGTATTGGTCGTACAGGTAGGTGTATGTATGTTTATTGGTTTGTTTAAAAATGATGACACAGTGTTGTTTATTATTTGATTAGTTCAACAGTAACTTTGCAAAATTTCTTGATTAGTTTTAAAAGGTTTGTGAAGTCACTATCTGGATTATGAATTATTCAACACCTCTACTTTTGACTTTCTAAACTTTTCTGCTGATGAGTCCCATACCAGGACGAAACGGCCGTCCAGTGCTTCCAGGTTTCTAATGGTGTGGTCTAACATTGATCGATTCATGGTTACAAATTAAACTTTTCTCACTGAATCATACTTCTTGAATAATATCTTCTAATTCTAACCTCTCCGATTACTTCTAATACCTTTACTACCTCTTCTACTATTGGATTTGAATTGACAATTACATCTCTGTGCTGATGTGGTATGGCGACATGAACTGATATACTTACGTACGTACAAAGTTCTACGTTGCATCTGACTGACTGACTAACTGACTCACTATCTGGATTCGACCTTCGGCTTGGTTGCTACAAATGCTGGTTGTCTGTGTGGGGAAGCACTTCACCGGCATCATATGTGATTACACTGTCCTCCGACCAACCTCAATCTCATGATAGGACAATGAATTTTCCACCAAATTTATCACAATGCTCAAGTCTGACCATCATCACATCACATCACATCAATGTTAGTATTCTACAAACAGTCCCAGTACTAGTTACATTGATTGAAAGTGACCAATCAAGTTAACACTATAACAATTAAACAAATACATAAAAATTGTTAACTACTAACTTAATAAAACTTGATCACACGTCAGTGAAGAGTGAGAAATCTGAAAAATACAAATGCAACTTTTATAATTCATTAACATAATGTAGTGAAGGAGAGCACAGGTGAGGGCAACCGAATTGTATTTATCGCAAATTACAGAGTTAGTTAATTGGTAAAATAAGAAAACCATATCGTAAACGGTTAATTTGCAAATCTTCAATCCATTGTGTGACATTTCACTATTCATGCGTTTCATACAAATTCGATTGTGTGTCCCACTCTTCCTTTCTTGATCTTCCTCCCATCTTCTGCTGCCAGACATTACGTCTTTTTACTCGCCTCATATACTACTTATAAATAGCGCGCAGCACAATAAGTCGGATAAATCTACATGGTTGTATACATAATACCTCTTGTACATCTCATCCATCTTCTTTTCTTCAGTTTAATGAGTTTTCTTCTTCTTCTTCTCCTTTTCTTTCTTTCTTTTTTCTTTATGCACAGGTACATTTGTTACAACAGATATTTGTTTACAACAAGCAATTAATGAAGGTTATCTTGATGTACCAGATGTGATTAATCAATTAAGATGTCAACGTGCTGGTGCTGTACAAGTTGCTAAACAATATGCATTCATTCATCAAGCACTTGTATCACAATTATCAAAACAACAACAACAACAACAAATCAATAAGGATGATGCTAATCATCACAATGATAAAGATGATACTGATATTACTGTATTATAAATAAATATTCATTCACTTTCAACAGCCACCAAATCTATTCATCTCCAACAACACTTATATTCTCATTTATTGTGATAAACCAAAACAAGATTATTATTATTATTATTATTGTTTCGTTTCTGTGTCGTCTCCATCGTCCACTGAACTACTACTACTTACCTCTCTCTTGTTAATGTGTGCCTTTGTTTTTTCTTCTGAAAACATTGTTATGTTGAAATTTTTCTGAGAATTTTTTAAATTTTGTTTTATCTTTGAACTTTACAAATTTTGTTCTATAATTAAAGCGTATTTCTTGTATATATATATATATCTTAGTGTATATATGTACGTACCTTATGTGTTTATTTGTTTTTCTACAAAAACTACGGTTATTATTGATTGATTGATTGATTGTTGTCATATTTCCCATTCAAAATGTACACAGAAATATCACTTAAATTTTTTTAATAAATTGTCTGTTGTGTTTTTTTTTCACCATTTGGACTTCTTCATAGGTTTATTATGTGATTTAATTTTTTCTCATGTACAGTAGTGCATGCATCTTATTACTTGTCTGTCTGTTTCTCGTCTCACACATTCTTACACACACACACACACACACACAAATTCAATGACTCATTATCTCAACCATATCAAATCTTTTCACACTTGGATTTAATCATTATATTGTGTAGTAAATGTGTATTATATTCATGAATAGAGTTCGAATTACTCATCATTTGACCGTCATCATCATCATCATCATCATCATGATAATCATACTAATTCCGAAATCAATTCTTCTTCTTCTATAACCAACCACCTGCCCTACTCACTCGCTATGTTATTTGATTGAATTGAATTGAATTGATTTAAATTGATCAAGATAACAATCAATAGATGGATAGATATACACTTGTGAATACTTTTTGCTATTGATTGATTTCTTCTCCTCTCCACTTACACACACACACATGCACACATATTACAAATAATGAAACCATATTGTCAGCATATTATTATTGCGCATTGATTGAACTGTTATGATTTGTAATCAACTAATGATGTCTAAAAAAAATAATAACCACTGTTTGCATTTCGTCTAATCTTTTTTTTTTTTCGTCTTATGTGTATGTATCTTCATTCATTCATTCATTCAGGAAAGTGCATTCTAGTTTATCATCAAACTGAGTCATTATGACATTTTACAGTGTATATTGCTTAATATATATTTGTCTGTCACCTACTTCCTCCTCCTTATTACGATCAATGAATTGTTGCCCTATAAAATCCGAACAAATTGCAAAATAACAATACAACACTTATAGTTTATAAATAGTGTTATTTTTTTCCCTTTTTTTTGAATGTATTTATTAACATTTTATCATTACAGTCACTTCCCATTTTGTTCTGTGTTTCTAACATAATTTTAAATTATTTTTCTATTATTACTATTATGTCGTCAGTTTAAAAAAGAAAAAAAAAAAAGAAAACACCAGTCAATAATTGAAATTTTTATTTAAACATGACAATGAATAAATATCGATTCGATGTGTATTGAGTTCAATTTATGCTGACTTTGGGGGAATTTATTGTTCATCAATTAATTGTTAGATTGCCGCGCTCCGTCTGTTGTTATAAGAAGTATACGTATATTATTGATAATAATTGTACAGTCGATTTAAGCGTTTATTAGTCTATACACATGTAGTATCTAAACTGAGGTTTGGACTGAGGAATAACTGTCTAGGTAGTTTAGATACACGTCTTGACCAGTCGAAATCAAAACAAGTGATTTGGGTAAATAACAGTTCTAATATTCATAATAAATATATTATTACATCATTACCTAAATAAATATTACCACTCAGTTATTCCTTCAACAATTGTTCAATTAATCAAATCAAATAGATCAGATTCGTTCGAAAGATAGCAGTGTTTCCTGTTCTGGAAAAGTGCTTCAATTCACAATCAATATGCACAATTCCAGTCAAAGCAAGCAACACAATCAAAAGAGGAACAAATCAATATAGCTGTCGCCATGACTAATAAGTATCAGCTTAAACAAAATAAATACAGTTTGGAAAGAAACATAGAAACTCAGTACAGGTAAAATATGAAATAGAAACTATAATAATAAAATACAAATATTATCATATTCAATCGGATCGAACAGACTAACAAAAAGGTGGAACCGAAAGGAATCATTAAGGACAAATTACAAATGTATACATGGAGAGGGATTTTCACAAACAAAGCCTTCATAAAAAAAATGTGTTAGTTATAATCATTGAAAAAAATTGACATCAGTCAGAGTAACATTAAAAAAACCAGAAAACACTGGATACCTAATTCGTTCTAGCTGTAAATTCCACAGCTGGATTGTTTTACTCCTTTCAAAATGTATCACTGGTTCGGTTGTACTAGTTGATCATGTTGAAAGTGATGACTTGTATTATTCTTTGCTGTCATTTTTTTTTAGAATTCAAAAAAGTCAGGTTTTGGAAAAAAATTCTGATTGTATGAATTTGTAATTCGTTCAGTCTATCTATTAACTCATAAGGCGTTTACTAACAAGACCATGACTAAGGTTCGAAGATATTATTCAAGAAGTATAATTCAATGAGATAAAGTTAGAAAGAGAAAGATAGAAGTGGTGAGAAATTCAGAAGGTTAGAATTTGAGAGAGCACAAAGAGTGGATGCACCTGCTCCATTGCAAACGATTTTGACCCATATCGTTCAAGGTCTTTAACTATCGGTCACTTTCGTCTCGCTGACCTCAACCGGGTAGCCTACATCTACCAACATGACTCAGTCCACTTGTCAATGACTTCATGGATTTGTGCCATGTTTTGGTCTGGCCGCCCCTAGCTGTCTT